CCATAGATAGGCCTAAATAAAATGTTTTTAATTATGTACCAGTTTAACGTTGAATATTATTTATGATTTTAACTTTATGCACAGTGCCAAAATACTATAATTAAAATTGAAGCTGTTTTAGATCACTGATTTAACAAAATATTGTAAGATTTAAGTTATAGAAAACAATCTCACTGCTTGCTTCAACAGCCGTGATGGAAACTTGAGATAACTAATTTATTGCGTTGTGTTATTTCTAAAGAAAAAAAATTGTTGATTTCAAGTACCTCTTTTAATTTTATAGAAAATTTGCAAAAACTGTTTGGCAACTGAGATGTTAGAAAAGCTAAGTGAGGCTTGTTTTTAATGTTTTGTATTATGATTAACTTACACATGAGCATAGTTACAGAGTTAACACATATTTATAAAGTTTATCACTCTTTTTCTTTTTATCAGTACAAGTGAAATGTTCTTAAATATTGAAAACTTTCATTTTATCACAGGATCCTCTATTGCCTAGTACTCAACCTGTTCACCAGCTGGTGCTAGAAGGAATCCAGAGAGACCACTTTGGAACACAGTTCCTTAATGCAGGGCTTGGTAACATCATCATCATACATTCATCACCTTCTCACAGTCAGCCATTTGAAACATCAGGTCAGTTTGTATTGAAACTAGTTGGTTCACCAAAACATTTTCTTGGCAGTCTGCTAAGAGTTTATTGTACTTTATTAGAATGATGTTCCATGTCTTGTATGGTCCTTTGATTAACTTCCTCCATCAATATGATGTCATAATTACACACTGTTGCCTGACACAACAATTTCTCTGAAGGATGTAAAAGCTAATTTTCAACCAGACATCTTAACGTACCTTCCATAGTCCTCACTGTAAATTAATAATGGCTCTCAAGGCCATATTTAAGTAGATAATAAGCACAAAAGTCCATTAGAGTTACATCAAGAATTTGATATTGTTGAATAGAATTACTGATACTCCAGTTTCCTAGAGCATCTCCATTATGAAAGCAGCAGTTTATTTTGAGATATGGTTGGATGTATGTAAACTTTGGGTTTTAAATTCTTGTTTAGTTTCTTGTTAATGGTAACAAAAGATATGATCAGCTTATTCTTTAGTTTTGGAGCCTGCTTTTTGTAAATGCTCTGATGTGAAAGTTTTATTACTTCCATAGAGAACAGCGAAGGCTTCCTTCTTCAAACATTTGTGGCCTTTGACTTAATATTATTTAATGATCTTGCATTACTAACTTGGTTAATAAGATTTTGAAAGCATCAAGTTGACTGTATATAATGGTTACATAGTCCAAATAAACTGATAATATAACTACATTTTGTTATATTTTACAAAAACACTAACAAATATTACAAAATTACACAAATGTGAGGTTGTAAAATTACAGGAGGAAAAGAAAACCTGTAAGAATTGTAATTTTCTTTATACAGAATAATACTGTTTAATCTTCAATCCAGTACCTATATACAGTAACAACATTTCATATTTATCTCTGAACTGTGTCATGAAATATTCATATTTAGGTGAAATGTGCTTTGTAAGCACAAATTACATGAATGACCAAAACAAAATTGAGAATAGTTCCAATTTACTTACTTGATCTAGTTCACACTATAACAGTTGTTGTTCATGATACAAATAGTGTCTTGACCACTACTATGTCTGTTGCATCCCAGCTGACCTGATGAGCTTCGGTATTGGGTGAAAGTCCTTGTAGGCACTGGCTTTTGGCAGTGTGGTGTGGTTGACATATTATTACATATTCTTCTTTGACTTCAATCATAAGTTCTTAAAATTACTGTATGCAAGAACTTGGGACTCTTAAAAAATTGAAAATTTGATTAACCCAGGTACATGTCATATGTTATCTGTCCTTGTTCAAAATATGTTGTTTTGTTTTTACAGTTGACTAGTATATTTCTTTGACTATCCTTATATAATGACTTGTTTGACACTTTTGTTTTTTATGCTACCACGTGGTATTTTGCTCCAAGTTGAGTTTATAGCCCTGATCTTTGACAACAACAGCAACAGGCAACATCCCCTTTTAGGTCTGTTGAGTTGTTTAATACTAATGAACATACTTATTGTATACATGAACCGCTCTGCAATATTTATTTTTTGTCATGCATTAGTTTATAGCCCTGATCTTTGACAACAACAGTAACAGGCAACATCCCCTTTTAGGTCTATTGAGTTGTTTAATACTAATGAACATACTTATTATGTACATGAACCGCTCTGCAATATTTATTTTTTGTCATGCATTAGTTTATAGCCCTGATCTTTGACAGCAACAGGCAACATCCCCCTTTTCGGTCTATTGAGTTGTTTAATACTAATGAACTTACTTATTATGTACATGAACCGCTCTGCAATATTTATTTTTTGTCATGCATTAGTTTATAGCCCTGATCTTTGACAACAACAGCAACATCCCCTTTTAGGTCTATTGAGTTGTTTAGTACTAATGAACTTACTTATTATGTACATGAACCGCTCTGCAATATTTATTTTTTGTCGTGCATTAAGAAATTTGTCTCTGTATGAGCTGACAAACAGTTGGCCTTATGACTTAGGCACAAATCACCGTTGCTCCTTTTTTTATTCAAATGGCTTCTTGAATTCCTTTTTTTTCTCCTTATACTACTCTTTACTCTCAATGAGGCCCCATGTGCAAGAGACAAGGGGTAATTTTGAAGACTTATCAATTTTAGGGTTGTTTTTATTGCATCTCTAACTGTTTTGTCAATCTTTTAATTGATAGATGTTAAAATATAATGGTATGGTTGAGCTTGTTGTTAGTAGTGGAGTGGGATTAGCAAATTACCATCTTAGGTTTAGTATAAAACTAGAAAGTTTATACTCCCCAAAATATCTTGACTATGCCTACACAAAAAGATTCTTAAGGTAACCTGCTATTCACTTTTCAGGTCTAATTATTTATACTATATATTTGATTTTATTAATTCAAGTTCTATATACATATATATATATATAAACGATTGTTATTTAATAAAAAAAAAAGTAAATGCAGGTTTATTAATTATCCATTGTTGGCATTGTTTGTTTATGTTATTTACATTACTGAAAGGTAAAATAAAGCAAAAAAGTTAGAAACAATATATTTCTTGATGTAAATAGCCTTTTTTATACAAGCTCAAAAACTGTGCTGTAATTGATATAATACATTTATCTCTAAAGGGGTATTATTGTGAGACAATTACCAAGTTACAAATAGTATTCATTTAAATGCCAGGAATATACTGTCAATAGCAAGGGTGCACAGATCACTAACTCGAGGAAATTTATGTGAGAATAGGAACACAGAGACTTGAAATGAAAATACATTTATTAATACTTCTGTGTTCAAAATTATGTTCATAACTTCTCATGGTTCTTTCACTCATGTAATTACTTAATAACTTTTAATTCTTATATAGTATTACACTTTAAAAATAATAAGAAACTTACTTAGAAGTTGAAACCTGTTTCATTTTTTATATTGCTGTCAGAACTATCAATTTATATCTCTTAAGTGATTGACTCAAGGGCTGATTAAGGAAGATGGCTTCTTATGAGATGACTTACTTCTCCAGGGCTTGAACTATCTCTCTCTGTTTTTCTTTTTTTTCTTCTCCATTATATTATTTTTTAAACTCTGCTTTTATACATTTTAGTTGCTCTGCAGTTGGTGGGCATGAAGTTAGAGACAACTGGTTAGATAATCAAGTGTTATCTTACCAAAACTAAAATATTTTCCTGTAATTCTCAGGAATCATTTATAGGCCATTTCCATTCACTGTCCTTAATGGCAACATCTATGTGAGCTGGCTTCTCCTCGTGTGGATTAAACCTATGTGCTTGCATTACATCTCTATTTATACATTGTGTCTAATCAAAGGTTTATCTTCCATCATCAAAAATGGATGACATAGTGTAGTATAGTTTCAGATTGTAATGTCAGGAAGAACATTGTCCACTTAGGTTAGTTACTTATGGTTATTTATTTATTCATGTGATGGTTTTTGTACATTTAGCATCAGTGTGATACAAGATGTACTTTTATGGCGGTATATATTATACATATTTCTAACACAGCATTTGTTATACTAGACGTTTGATCTTGTTCGTCTATCATGCACACGAATAAATTGATATTACTTCATTGATAACTGTTTCCTTACTTTAACACATATTTAGCATGGTTATTTGATCAATATGTTTGCTTTAACCTTTCTTTAAAAATTTCTTCAACCATTAAGTAATTGTTAACATCTGAATAAAATCACTTCCGATTTAATACACTTAATGATTATGCTAATTCCTTATTTCACATCCACTTTATTTTTCAAGATTATCTAAAAATGCTTATTCATAACTAGATTCTTTGTTAGTTCATGAATCACCAAATTCTTCTGAATGTAGGCATGATGAAATACTTCTTTTCTGTAGTTAAAGTGTAATATTGTGTTTATTCTAATTCCATTCACAATCAATTTTTTTTCATCCTTTTGTTCAGACTATATAGGTTGAGCATTGTATAGAATTCAAGGCCAGTTTCAGACCATCTGTCAGCAGGCAGTCACTATCTGAGATAATTGTTTGAATAAAATTTAGTAAACAAACAACTTCAAATCTTCATTTTAACAAAAGAATGACTGTGACATCCTTTCATATACTCTGTAGTAGAGGAATTGATTTAGCCTAACCAATTTTTCTTTCAATTGACCACTTTCCCTATGGTTTAGAAAGGTGTGAAGAAAATTCTGGAGTCATAAATTTCAGTGTTTAGTGACCCCAGCTTCAATAAACAAATAAGGTGTTCTTCCCTACTATGTATATTGGGTTTCATTAGTGACCAATGATGTTTTGTGGTCAGTAAGCCACTTTTCCTGCAGTTGAGAGAAGTATGAAAGATATATATATATATATATATATGTGTGTGTGTGTGTGTGTTTGTACATATGATGATTAATTTTTCTGAGAACATGCAAGTAATGTTTCTTAGACAAATCTTACTTATATTGTGTTATTTGTTAAAAGAATGATGCGATTGAAATATAGTTATTTGCCCCAAAATTATGTGGAAGCATTGCGCATTTTCTTTTAATTTATCATTCAACTTAAAGTGATTATTTTATATAGCTCGGTTAAGTAATACAGGTCAGGTATTTTTACGTTACACAAGATTGACAGTACTTTGAACCCAGGAATCCCATCGCATATCCATAATTGCTTTGTACGAGTCAAAAACTAAGAAAAAGAATTGGTAACTACAGATATAAGATGGTATTTCAATGAACATTAACTTTGCAAGACATGTTGACCAATGTAAAGAATTGGTAACTACAGATGTAAGATGGTATTTCAATGAACATTAACTTTGCAAGACATGTTGACCAATGTTGGTAACTACAGATATAAGATGGTATTTCAATGAACATTAACTTTGCAAGACATGTTGACCAATGTAAAGAATTTCGTTCCTTCCCTTGAACAAAAAGGAAATGTATACAATATAGATGGAGATGTGGGAGAAGTTATGTTATTGAAACTGTTTGTCCTGTGGCTACCCCATTTAAAGAACATAAGCATTAGATATGATCTGGAAACGAAACAAAATTCAGCTGTGGTGGCACTATATAGGAATGCAACCATGAAATGCTCTGGAATAATAGCTGTGTCCTCTTAATTGAAAGCAGTTATTTTAAAAGACAATACAGAAAGGCACTGATTATCAGAAAAATGGAAAAAATGAACTGGATATGAGTATTAATAGAGATCAGAGAAACTACAACATCATTTCATCATGACTTGACATCAAATGCTGTTTACTGAAAACTTCTGTTTTCAACAGGTTAACATATGAAGATTATATGTATATTTTATATATTATTTAAGTGTGTTATTTTTATTACATATATGTATTCATAAATTTACAAATTAATAATTAATGACAATTGTATATTTTCATTGTTACGCATTCGTCTTCAACAGAATATGATATTCAATGTTTTTAATGTGAATCAAGCTCGTTGTTCAAATCTGTTCTATTATAAGATCATTTAAACTTATGATCAGTTTGGCTCGTTGATGGCTATCGCTCAGTAACTGAGAACTTGTGAAAAGAGTAAATAAAAACATGGAGTTTATTTACTTATTTGTTTTAAACTTATTCATTTCTCCATTGTTTGTATTTCTACAACAAACATTGTAACTTATTTTCTATTTGTTTCACACATGTGACAATGAACACACTCTTGCTACATGTATAGCTTTTGCTCACTCTTCTGATTTGATTTACACCTACTATATTCCATGCTGTAATCTGTGGTAGTGATGGTGCAGAGTAATAATTAAATATTACATTGAGCCATTAACAACAGTGTCATCTTGTGGTTAAGAATCTTACTAAGGAACCTCTTTACCTCATTCTTAAGGTCCCGAGATAATAACATGTATTGGTTCACCATTGTTAAAATTAAGTTTTTGTAGATAAAATTTTCTGTTGGAAGTACTGTAAACTAGCATCATAAGTTTATATATAGAATTATACACCATTTTTAAAGCAACATGATTATCTTTTGGAGATTGTGTGGATTTCTATCTGACTTTGTATTTAAAAGTCATGCGATTATTGGTAAATCAGTTTTCTGGAAATTTTTTGCGATGATTTCCCTGTGGAGATTTTATTGTAGCTTGTCGTATGAAAGCTACTCACAATTTTTTAAGGTAACTTTTTATAATATTAAAAGTCGTGCTGATATTGTTGTTCTTCTGAAAGATATTTAAGAAACAGTACGTAAAACTTATTGCTGCTTCTTTCAGTAGGTCTTCCAGCCTCATCGTTGAATCAAGATGGATTAGAAAATTCCAGCACAGGAGAATTACGATTTATATCTAATCTGCAGAAATCTTCCCATACTGGTGATATTAGTAGTTCATCACCTGTATTGTCTAGTTCTACAGTCGACCCTCAGGAACAGACTCTGTCTCTCCACGTTAATGTAAACCCAAGCATTTCATCTTTACCCTCTTGTAACGTCTCGCAGCTTAAAATTCCTCTTCATCCTCCTCCTTCCTATGTTCAACACACTGCAGCGGCTGTTGCAACGGGTATTGGCAGTTCAACACAGCTCTCAGTTCCCCTTGGCTAAGTAACTGTTAAAATTAACTTCTGTATCCCTAGTTTAGTGTTGAGATCCATGGTCATTAAGTCTACCAATTTTATACTCTTGTTTTCATTAAATTAATTCTTCAAAATAAAGACGTTTCTCTCTCTCTTTGTCTGCCACCAAAGTAATTAGGTGATATTAAAAGAGTACATAGATTTAATAATTAGCTTCTTCTAAAAGATAAAGAATAGTTTGAGTATATAGTCATTTTCACAACATTAGGCATGTACAGATAATTGGGATTGTCACTGCAGGAATAATTTCCAATACATTATTTTTAGCTTTAAAAGTTGAGGTATAGTAAGAGTTTTTTTTAAAGTTCATTACATAGTTGAATATAGTTAAAACTGAGTTAGAGAAACAAAACTAGCACTAACAAATAGTTTGATATTTAATGTATCTAGCTTGGAAAGAATTTACATTGATAAACTATTATTAGTCTTATGACTGAGTTCTTGTAATAAAATTGTGACTGAGTTGCAAACCTAATTATTTCAGTGTAGTTTAACCTGTGGGGAGTGTAGAAGGAATAACGCGTATTGCATCACTTGCAATGTTTCCGTACAACAAACAGATCGGTGTTTTTTATTTATGGCATCATGGTGGTATTGTTACAAGTTGCTCTTGTTTTGCTGACTACAAATTCATATGATCATGCACTCAAGAGACAATCAGCACACAATTTACAAAAAACTAGAGGGGAAAACTTGTGCTCCATGTATGAATTTTTTTTTCTTTATAGTATTTTGTATTCGAATGCACAAAGTTTGTAAAACTTAAAGACAGTGCTGTGTATGTAAAGTAATCAAAACAGTTAAGTGACCTACCTAGACTACTCATGTATGAGGTTAGGTACATGGAGTTCCTAATGAATCTTGTGGCCATGCAAGGCATCTCAGTGACCGAGAGGTTAAACCTATTCCACAAAATGTGATACTCACCAAACCACCTAGTACAAAAAGACATTTTGAACCAAATGGTCTGGTTAAAAATGACAAACCAATCAACTTATCTAGTAAGAAATGCCAGATCTAGCAATGCTTTCAAAACTTGGGTATTGAGGGCAAGTATTAAAACTCAAAAGGATGGCATTACTGGTACACTAAGTGCCTATAAACAAATGAAGAAATTGAAATTTGCACACAAAACATTAACACATAAACACTGCTGTCTGAGATGGGGCCCTGAGGGATGACAGCTCCATTCCCTAAATACTCTTTCCTTGGCATTGCATGGTACAAACCACACCCACCCCCTCTCTTACATATATGGTGATGTCTGTTTTTTCCTACTCAAAATTTCATTTTTGTGTAGTTTAATGAAGTTTAAAAAGCTTCCTGCACATGTTACTGTGTTAATTATATATATATATATATGTATAGTCACTTGTATTTGGTTTTCATGGCACAGCAAAAACACCATTTTGTTTCTAGTATATAAACAATAATAACGGTGATAATATAATAATAATAATAACTTGTGCACCATTCACAAAAAATTATCATCATGATCTTTTTATGTTACCATTGTTAAGTCACATTGGACAGTGCAACGTTTACTCCATCCATCAAAAAATCATTGTTGCTCTACTATGACACATTGTTAGTTAACTCGATAATTATTCAGTGAATAATCTTTATGTACTTGTGTATAAACTGCAATAATGGACAGTGTAATATGCTCTCTGTTTCAGTAATAATCAATAACTTTACAATAGCGCCTTGTAAAATGTAATTAATGATGTCATAACAATGTTAAGCTAGAGTGCAAGCTTGTCAACTTAAGAACGTCACTCATGTTTTAATAAGTTTGTTTTTGTTTGTTTGTTTTTTGAATTTCGTGCAAAGCTACAGGAGGTGTTTCTGCGCTAGCCATCCATAATTTAGCAGTGTAAGACTAGAGGGAAGGCAGCTAGTCATCACCACCCACCGCCAACTCTTGGGCTACTCTTTTACCAACGAATAGTGGGATTGACCGTCACGTTATAATGCCCCCACGGCTGAAAGGGCGAGCATGTTTGGTGGGACAGAGATTCTAACCCGCGACCCTCAGATTCGAGTGTCCTAACCACCTATTTCCCGTTTTTCCTGTGGGTGCGTTATAAAAGTGACAGCGTTAAGCGTTCTTGTCTTAAATGAAATTTTGACCATGTCCACATTTACTGTTCCCTTGCCAGAAGTATTAGCTCGTTGTATCTTATCAAAAAAATATATTCTCCCAATAAAAATCCAAAGGTCTGAACGTTTGTGCTTTCAGCATATGCGAGATTTCAAATACCTACATCTCTTTTTTTTTCTAAAAATTAAGCTTGGTATTTTTAGAGAAACTTTCGACTCCCTAAAAATTCTATTTCTTCTCACATATTTTCTACAAAAAACTAGATTATCTGGTAAAAAATTCAACAGCTTTTCTCAAGTCTTGATGTTATAACTCTTCTGATAGAAAATTTTAATCGTTTATAGCATAGAGAGAGAACTAAGTTATCTGCTCTTAAATTCAAAAATGTTATAGCAACTTTCACACAATTTACCATGCGGTTTTGTTATGGTACGGTAAAATCCATTACATCTTTAATCTCTTAAAGGTCAAATACTTTTATTAAAGCAATTGCTAATGCTCCAATTTTCCTTTTGCCAAAAAAGGATGAATCGGTTATATGGCATTCACATTTCACCACCCCATAAAAATAAAAATATTCGTCTTTAAAAGAACTATAATCAGTCTATGTTAAGCCTTTCTTATTATCTCGGTTATAGCATATTAAAATATTTAAAGAAATTCGATGTTAATTAGTTTAGACTTTGAATATTTAGAAATAGTTTCCACCAGCTTGAAATTTCTTTGTTTCGCTAGAATGATCAAGTCACTTATTATACACACAAGTAATTTATTATCTCATGATAAATCAAAAAGGTTTGTTTGTTATAAAGCTCAGCTCGTCGCGGGTATCAAACCCCGATTTTTGGTGTTATAAGCCCACTGACTTAACACTGAGGACATCAAAAAGGACATTTATTTTAAGAAAAAACATTGCTTCATTTATCGTAAGTATAAATTAATATAGTTTAAAGCTTTAATAACTTTTAAAATTAGTAAATGAATCATATTTAAGATTAATTTGGGTATCTATATAAGTAATGCGCTTGTGTTTGTCTGTCTGGAACTTTTCTTGAAAATTTTTCGACCAAACGCTACAAATCTAATATCGTTAGAAAGGCCTTTGTCCGAGGAGTCCATATTGTATATTGGTATTTCAATTCAGAATCCCCTTACCTGTTTTTTTGCTTAGTCACACTTTTCAATACAACAAGTATATTACATGATGGCACAATGTCATTGTCATCATGTGACGACTGACTCCGATTTCAACCTTATTTTTATTCGCAAAGTATTTCACACAAACAACATTTAACCCGCGCTTAATTTCCTTAAAAAACGAACATTACACTGAATACATTTTTTTGGGGCTTTCTAGTCTTATTTAGGTCTAAAGTATTCGTGTGCGGTTCTTTCAAAATCATGTGCTTATCACTTTGTGAACACCCTTTCAGACGCTTCTGCATATACAGCTAAGTTTGCTTCCATTACAACTTTACATTTACTTTACTTTGCAATAATTTAGCTTTGGTTTGATCCATAGACCACTATAAACACCTTTGGGCTACTTTTTTCTTTACTACAGGTTTTATTCTTTGGTTTTGTGAGTTTCTTTGTTTCAACTCGTAAAACTGTGTTATACACAGAGTGCTCATAACGCTTTCATATTTTGTACACTAAGTACAAGTACTTTACCATGTTTACTATACGTGTAGTTTTATAAAATAAATTTAAGTCTACGTGAGTTTATTTGTCTGAAAGCGTAAAATATTTTCAAATAGGCCAGGATTTATCGATCTAATACATATTGCTTGCAAGAAAGCGTAGCTTAAATGCCGTGTGTGAAAATGGTAGAATGAGGTAAATTCGAGTGAAGGACATGAAAACTATTGCAAATGTTTTGCAGGTCGCGGCTAGTTTGCTTTTATTTAATTAACGACTTTGTGAATAGGTGATAATCAACTTTAACTTGGTCCGTCGGTAGATCAGCTGCACACCTACTTTAAATAATCTCTACTAAACAAATAACAATTTTAAACCAAAAACAATGCCATAATTCACGTCTGCTTTTGTTGTTAATCACATTTATTTTAGTAGTATTAGCAGGGTTGTGTTTGCGAACTAGACAGCTGACTAAGGCCTCACGCGTGTGAAGTCTGGATGGATAAGTGATAAACTTTTATAAATGTATAACTTTGATGGGAAGATTAATGGCAAAAAGCGAAATCAAATGAAAGAGAAAGAAACAAAGAAAAATTAAAGGATGGAGTTGGAAGAGGGACATTTGAACATTTTTTCCTAGGACCCCGCAAAATCCAAATACAATCATTTTTTCTGAAAAGTTGGTGTCTATTTACTTGTGACCACGCTGTGTATATCCAAGAATAACAACATTCATAAGACTTATAAGAGACAGTACATATATCCAATTGTAATAACATTAATAAGACTTATAAAAGACAGTACATATATCCAAATAACAACATTCATAAGACTTTATAAAAGACAGTACATATATCCAATTGTAATAACATTCATAAGACTTATAAAAGACAGTACATATATCCAATAGTAATAACATTCATAAGACTTATAAAAGACAGTACATATATCCAATAGTAATAATATTCATAAGACTTATAAAAGACAGTACATATATCCAATAGTAATAACATTCATAAGACTTATAAAAGACAGTACATATATCCAATAGTAACAACATTCATAAAATATTATTAATTAAAGTACAGAATATCAATATTACAAATATCATTTTCATTATGAAAAACTGTAAATTTATTGCCCTTGAAGTCGATGGAAAAATATTTATGTATTAAGATAAGGTATCACACTTCAATTGTTTCAAACAATTTTAAGATTTTAATTGTACGTTAAAAGTTTTACTAATCATATGGAAGTTACAAGCAAAAAAAGTAACAACATCCAAGTGCGATGAAACAACAGTGCTATTGTTACATAGTATGGTCCGATTACGTGCAACCTTTTTATAGAAATATTTTGTTAGAGATAAGGTCAGAAACTACATGTTTCTATAGATATATTTTGTTGGAGATACGGTCAGAAACTACATGTTTTTGTAGATATATTTTGTTGGAGATAAGGTCAGAAACTACATGTTTTTATAGAAATATTTTGTTAGAGATAAGGTCAGAAACTACATGTTTTTATAGATATATTTTGTTGGAGATAAGGTCAGAAACTACATGTTTTTATAGATATATTTTGTTGGAGATAAGGTCAGAAACTACATGTTTTTATAGATATATTTTGTTGGAGATAAGGTCAGAAACTACATGTTTTTATAGATATATTTTGTTGGAGATAAGGTCAGAAACTACATGTTTCTATAGATATATTTTGTTGGAGATAAG